TATGGCAGGCTCGCTGCTATAAAGCTGGAGCGCATCATGGAAATGTTTCCAGGTCGTGTTTTCTCGAAGCCAGAGTTTACTGTCCTGCCTCCCTATGTATTTTCTGGTGCAGACTTTGCCTTGATCCCCTCTCGGGACGAACCATTCGGACTGATTGCCGTTGAATTTGGCCGGAAGGGTGCTCTTGGGATCGGCTCTCGCATTGGAGGTCTAGGCCAGATGCCTGGTTGGTGGTATACTGTGGAATCAGACTCAGCGCGTCATCTCTTGCATCAATTGAGAACGGCAATCAAGTCTGCTCTTGACTCGACAGAAGAGACGCGAAGGGAAATGCGGGCAAATTCTGCCAAGCAGCGATTCCCTGTCCTTGAATGGACCCATAAACTCGAAGTCTTGCAACGGACAGCAATCCACATCCATCATGCGAAGAACCGAACTACCGCGGGGGCCCCCGCACAGTCACAAATATACTCAGAGATGCGGGACGAGCATTTCTCAACGGTGGCCCTTCCAAGATTCAATATGTCCCTGGCAGAGGGCTTGGACTCGCCACCAGTGAGAACATCACAACTCGCTCATCCATCTCTCCAAGAACTACAGGCAGCTGACTTCAGGGGGACTGAAAGTAACAGGAGCAGCATTCTGGGTCGCAAACTCTCGCTTGGACGGCGAGATGGCCCTGGCCGGGACAGGAAGCGCCTGGTCAAGAAGTCATTGCGCGAGAATCAAGTTTCCGACCAGAGAGCTGAAAGTGATACCACGGACGCTGAAGACGAAGGCACCGACACGCCACAGGAGGATTACATTTCCCCCGAAGAGGCGGTCGCAGCCGTTAACCGGGCTCTTGGGTCCCAGGAAGTTGGTTCTTATCGAAACAACAGCTGCCACTCTCCACGCGGGTCCGAGATATCTACCCCGGACTCGTCACGTTTTGTCTCGCGGGAGTCTTCTCCAGTGAGAGCTCCTCTCCCTCACATCCGCAATGTGTCTGTTCTTTCGTTGCCATCTGTCATCGGTGATCACAACCAATCTGTCTTCGAGCTGCAGAAGGTTGATCCAACCTTTACTGACAGTATGGGTCACTTCACGCGGCACTTTGAAACGCTTCTGACCAACCTGAATATGAAGAATTCTATCACGGACTACTGTATTGAGACGTACTTGATGAAGAGCGAGCGGAAATTCTTCAACATGTACAATGACGCGCAATTGAAGATTCAGCCCAAAGAACGTGCACTGGATGAAGCTGCTTCGGAAGATGCCGTCGTTAACACGGCGTATACTCGCGTTTCTCGGGCCCCTGGAGAGTTGGAAACTAATGATCTTGGTGAAATTGATGAATGGCTCTCTCAGCTGGGATACAAGAGACCGATTGCCATCCAGAGATTTATGAGACGGCGTGTTGGAAATTGGCCCGTCTACGCTCTGTTCTTGGGCCTTGGCCAGATCATCGCGACAAACTCGGCACAGATAACACTTCTCGTTGGTCAGGTAGGCGAGACTGCTGTTAAGCTCTACATTATTGCGACCATCTATTGCGTCTCCACTATCGCTTGGTGGACTCTCTTCTACCGCTTCCCATCGGTGATTGTCCTCAGTCTACCATGGCTGTTATACTCCCTAGCATTCATGGTCATCGGCATTTCACCCTTCGGGATCACTAGTCTCGGTCGAGCATGGGCACAGAATGTTGCTGCAGGCGTCTATGCGGCTGCCTCTTCCAGTGGATCTCTGTTCTTTTCGCTGAACTTTGGTGACCAAGGTGCAGTTCCCGTGAAAGACTGGATGTTCCGCGCAAGTCTTATCCAGGGGATCCAACAGATTTACACTGTTGCACTGTGGTACTGGAGCTCCAGAGTCACTGCGGTAGAGGTTGGGGGCGTTTCTACGGCTACTTTGAACACATGGAAACTCACTGCTGTGGTGATGCCTATCGCCGCAGTGTGTCTTGTCATTGGCGTTGTACTTGCTCTTGGCCTGCCGAAATACTATCGTCAATCTCCGGGAAAGGTCCTATTTTTTGATACGTCACTCTTCCGCCGGCGTATTGTTCTCTGGTTCTTTTTCATGGTCATTATCCAGAACTGGTTCCTCGCTGCGGCGTTTGGCCGGAACTGGTCTTTCTTATGGTCATCTAAACATGCCAAGACATGGGAGGTGGTGCTTTTAGTGGTATTCTTCTTTGTCATTCTTTGGATAGTTGCGCTCCTCATATTCCGATTCCTATCCAAAGAGCACAGCTGGATCTTACCCGTTTTCGGACTAAGTGTCGGCGCACCGCGCTGGGCGCAAACTTGGTGGGGAACATCTAACATCGGATTCTACCTCCCATGGGCAAGCAGTCTGACCTCCGGGGCTCTCGCCTCTCGCTGTGTCTGGCTCTGGCTAGGGTTACTTGATGAGATTCAACAAGTCGGCCTAGGAATGATTCTCTTGCAAACCCTAACCAGAGTTCATGTCTGCTTTGTCCTACTAGTCGCCCAGTTTCTTGGGTCTGTCGCTACCATCTGTGCCCGTGGATTTGCTCCAAACAAGGTCGGTCCGGCAGGCATCTCTCCGGATGTAGGCTCGTCAGCGGACAAAGTAGCCAATGCGTGGTTCTGGATCGCCCTTTTCTTCCAGCTTTTGGCCAGGTCAGTGAAATTTCCCTATTCTCTCGGAAATCGTACTAACTGTTCGCTTAGTTTTGGTTTCCTTCTATTTTATCGGCGCGAACAGCTTAACCGACCCTGAGCTGTTTACAACTTTTGTATATCGGATCTGCAGATCGCATCACCATGTGTCAACAATTAGAGTTTTCATCCAGATCCGAGCAGAGTCATGAGTGAACGCAAATCAAAATGGTACTTGTGTATGGATGTTTGACTTTGAATCTTCAAGGCATACTGTGCCTGTCGGAGATGACACTTGCCGTGCAAATGAATCGTTGACTGAATTCATATTAATTAAACCTGCCATATATGGTCTAATCTAATAAGTTCGATCTATCATGGCTAAATGTTTCTTCATTAAATACAACAAATTGGCTGTCGGATTGTCATGTCAACTTGCGCGGGAATAGATCCTCTGCAAACGATTGAAGTGATCTCCACAGTAGTTGAGTGGAAATCTCTCAAGTGCTCTTCAATAATGGCAACCCGAGAGCACCAATTAAAAGGAGCTGGAGCTTCATATTTCAGTTCTCCTGATAGGAATGGTTTTGGTAGAATGCTCGAATCCATGTCGGAAAGTCATTATGCCATCTCTAGAATAGTGACTCTGCTGAGACGAACACGATCCTGGAGCAGGTGTTTTTGGGGGCGGGGAAGAACGGGGAATGGTCAATACCAATCATAGGGCAGCATGGAGAACTTCTTACTTGTTCTTAGGCTAAGGAAGCTACGCTAAGAACATGCCATAACGTAGTTCGAACACATTGAAGTCCTACGAGGAGGGTCAAGGCCACAGCCACCATGACAACTCTCCGGATGGACCATCGTTCCCACCAGTTAGGATGGTGTAGATATTTATCGCCGACGTTGAGGACAAAGCCATTTTAATGGGCCATTATCATTGTTTGTCGAGCTCCTGGTTTTATTATTACTTGTCATTCAATGTTAAGTAAATACAGATAGCTGTTACCGAACAGAGGCTTGAAAGATCGTGGAGGCCGGACCGACCGGTCTCCGATGAAAGTTTCATGTGACAATCGATCTTTGCTTAGTCCCAACGAAGGAAAAAAATACACAAATCGGCTCTTTTCTACATTTAGCTCTTAGTCAAACAGCGCAAAGGCCCGGACTATACTCCCTGAGGTGGTGCATCCACTGGAGTATTCCGGTGCTTGAACGCAACATGAGGGCACACTCTGGCTTGCTTTAGCGATGCACCCAGCTAGCAAGGTATAACAAGTGGCACACATTTCCCGTGCACATCTTTGTTACTATCCCAGATCTTGATGAGTCACCTTGTCCGTCTGCTGCTGATCCCAGACAGTACCATTGTCGCTTGTCGGCATATCCAAAGGTCACTGTCTGTCCACGGTAGTCATCAACGTTGTCCAAAAGATGGGTAGATTAAATTGGGCTGACAAGTTCGGCAGTCCATGATGGCGAGGGGCCAGTCCTGCACAAGGCCGCGCAGAGGACGCCAGAGATTCAAGCGGTGTCGGTCAGTCTGAGAGACATTAAAAGCAACGGCAGACGTACTTGGTCATTATACCTCGGTCCTTCAACATTTCCTGAGTATCCCAGGGACCATTATGCTCCAGACGATGGATTGCACCTTTGGTCGAACTATATTATGAATTAATATTATCCCTAGCAAATGTATGGCTCCTTCTGCCCCACATCCAGACAACTCACTGGTCGCAATGTACCCGCAGATAGTATTAGTATCGCAGAAAGAGGATAGATAGCCAAACAAAAGAGCCCTACCATAGTTGCTGGTTGCTCCTCGCCTATGGGGTTTTCGTACGTTCCCAGCTCGGGACGCCACTTGCGAGACGTATGATCGAATATAACAACACGAGATGCTCCCGCCTCCTTTTTGACAACGCTTCCAAACAGAGGATAGCACACTTGACGGATCTTCTCTTGGTTGTTTTCGCGCAGGCGGTCGAGATTGCCGGATTGGTGCTTTCTGGGTCGTCGCAGTAGGCAAAACCATGCTGGTGGAGTTCAAAGGCACTTTTATTGCCACGGACATCATTTATGCGCGCAGAGTGGCCAATCCATTCATAATTCATGTATTCGTAGTCTGGCTCTGCGTTGGTTCGGATGAAAGGTTCCTGACCCTAGGACCATAGCTCGATGAATCGCATGAAGGAAGTGTATGCTGCCATGGCTTTTTTAGAACGATGTTTTGGGATGCACATGTGCAATGCAGTAAGAGACCTTAGATACATCTCATGATACAGGCAATTAAATACGTCTATATATTAAATTGCTTTTACAAGTGGCTATGGTCAGTTCCTTGCAGCTTCTTTTGATCCTGATCACGGGCTGCGCTTTGATTCTTATCTATGTGGCATCGTTAAATGTGTTGACTTGCTCAGGGGTCGTATTATGACCGAAGATTTTCACTTGGCTCATGTTATCCTGAGTCGCCGGATCGCCGACGCGGTCCGCGCATGCCTCAATGTTCGGCCAGTCTTTGATATCGACACCGAGAAATTTGAACATCCACGGCATAGCAAAGGGAAAATAAGAACGCTCCACTAGAGTCGGACGTTCAACAAGTGCCACATACTGTTGACCTTCCCCAGCTGCTGATTTAGAATATTTCATTCCTTGATCGTATTCTCGGCCTGCCCACACATTGATCAGTCAATTATCTTACTACCAGAGAGGAAACTGGGCGAGAATGATGATAGACAAACTTTGCAATTTTGCATGGCAACTGGACGCTGTCCTTATGAGTGGAATAACCTGGCGAAAAAAATAGAGCCGTTATTTAACAGTTGCAGTAGTCATCATCAAACATAACGTTAGCTTTCTTATACTCTCTTTCTTAAGCAATATTACTCTATTCCTACGGTTTGATATGCCACCCACGTGAAGACTGCACCTTTCTCGTCGGCAGTGCGTCCGGACCGTTCGCCGTGCGCGTTGAACCGATGGGCAATATACTGAAGGCATGCTGTGCCATAGGTTAATGCGCTTACCTGTTCCGAGGTCCTTATCTTTGAGCGCGGGTACTATGCGCTCCGGGTGGATCTCGTATGCCATTGCGAGGTGGTAGCAATCATGAAGAGGACATGGTGAATCTTCAATTCCCGGGCCAAGATCAAGAGTTTGGTGTAGTTGGCGTATGACGTTCCATCCACTAAGGCGTTTCGTTAGCATTCCTACCCAGTCACATAAAAATTCTCTTTTTGTCACCTTTTATGAAATAATGCACCACTCTCCCATTGCTGGCTGGCACATCGCTGATAATCACTTCCCTTTGCAACCGTCATATTGTTGACAGGGGTATTCAATGACATGGCAGTTTCTGTTAAATTTTGGTGTAGTGGCTTTCTTGTATTTAAACAGAGGATTCAGGAAGATAGGATCCCTGACGAGGACCTGGTCCCGGGGGACTGGCCAGTCTGTTGCTGTTTTACACTTACCCTGCATTGATATCAACAAATATGGTTAAATGAATAAATAATAAAAAGCAATAGACAGTGAGTAGTTTTACAAAAAAATTTAACAAAGAGGAGATGATTTCAATTATTAACTTATACAAAGACTGGAGAACATGTGCTGTGTTTCCCGATTGATCTTTTAATTGAACAACGCCGGCTTCTTCTCAGTGGGCCCTCATGGGAGCTGGAGGTGTAAACTGCGGACGAAGAGTCTAAGGCTGAGTCATGTTCTTCTCGCTTTCACCCTGTTGACTATCCTTTGGAAACAATGTACTGTGTTTCACTGGCCTCTGCAGGGTTACCAGCACAAATGCCAGGAGAGCAAAGGCCATGGCTCCCCACCAGGTATCGCGGAGAGCTAGTTGATATAAGCCCAAGATCTGTTCCTTGGTTGTTCCATGGTATGACTGCATGAATCCCTTGCTGGCTCGGACGTATGCGCCTCCCCCTCCCAACAAGGAGCGCACTTCCTGTGGGACCTGGTCCAGATTGTTATTAACGCTCTGGTTGAAGATGATCGATGGAATGGTCATACCCCAGACTAGGGCAAAGCTGCGCAGAAAGTTGAAAAGGGCTGTAACTGCTGCCATGTCCTTGGGGTCAAAGTGACCCTGGATATTAGGGAGCAAAGTAGCCAGGAGCAACCCGTTGCCACCAGCCACGATTATCTGCAGCACGACATGCACGACGGTTGGGGAGGAGGTAGTCAAAATAGTGAAACATCCCAGACCGATCGACATCATGGCAAAAGCAAGCAAGTTAATCAGGGTAGCCCAGGAGCCGGGGAGGTTCGACATAAGGATCCCACCGACAATAGAAAAGACAACCATAGCAACAATTGTGGGCATGAGTTCGAACCCGGCCTGCTGGGGCGACAACCCCAACACCGCTTGGAAGTAGATGGTCAGGAAGTAATTGACCCACATAATGAGCATGCTTTGGATGAAGCTCTGGATCTGCAGGGAAACGGCAGACAGGTTGCGCAGTAATCGTAATGGGAGCAGCGGGTGAGGACAGAAATACTCGTAGACTTCGAAGGCTATCAGACCACAAACTCCAAGTACCAACGGAAAGATGACCCGTGCCGAATTCCAGGCATATATCGTCCCTCCCATGGTCAAGGAGAGGAGGATGGCAACGCTAGAGGTGGGGAGCAGTATGTTGCCAACCCAGTCAAACTGTTTAGCGGTGACTCGGAGTGAATCAACAGCACTGATCTGTTCGGCCGTCCGATGACCCAGAACCGGAAAAAGACACACAAGGGATGCGCCAGAGAGGGGAAGGTTGAGGTAAAAGATCCATCGCCAAGTGCTATGATTAACGATAACTCCACCGAGGATGGGCCCGAATACCAACCCTAGACAAGACGTGGCCATCACCATACCCAGCATCTGCGGTCTCTGTTGCAGTGGCAACTGATCACTGATGATGAGCTCGGCCATTAACGGAATCGCCCCGCCCCCGATGCCTTGGATGAGTCTTCCGGCCAGGATCAACCTGAGGGAATTTGCCGCGCCAGCCATAGCGCTGCCGATAGCAAATACCACGATACTTCCTAGCATGATGGGCTTGCGTCCAAGTACCTCAGCCAGCCAGCCGATCAAGGGTTGAAAAATGGCGGACGCTAGGGTGTAGCAATTGGTTACCCAAACATAGTCAGTCGTGTGCAAGTCTCGTGCGATGGTCGGCAAAGCCGTCACAACAATGCTGCCCTCCATGGTCACGGCGAATCCGCTGAGACAGAGCGTCCCGAAGAGCACCCAATACTTCCATCCTAGGCCTGGGGGTTTGACATCGTTTGGGCATGAAGGCGATGGCTCTCTTTCCTCGTCTGGTGCTTGCATCTCAGGTTGAAGCTGGGGTGATGATGCTGACATTATAGGTGAGGGAGTCATGATAAGGTGACAGGATGTCAGGAAGAAAGAGAAGAAAAACAGACATACAGTAGGACATACACGTCACGCGAGTCACCCAACTCCTTTTTCCCCGACGAATTGGCAAATAGCTGGCTGCATTACTAGTGGACAGGGATAGGTGACCCGCATTTTTACTACCGAATGTTGTGAAAGCCAAGCTATACCGTCGCCATACGCCGTTAGATAGCACGATGTTCTAGTTGCAAAACTGGTGAATTAGTTGTGGATATTGGCACCGATTTCTCTTTTCTATTTGAGCATCAATGATGGGAGGAGAATAGAGCCATGAGGCCAGAATCTGACCATGTCGCTGCAATGGGGGACCTCGGAGACAAACGCGGAGACTTTCCAGGCTGTTTTCATATATTGCATCTCGGAGGTGCCGTGACTCGACTGAACATGTGCCCTAAGCCAATTCCATCAGTATTCCACATTCCTGTATCATGGGTTAAAAACATCAAAGATGAAATTAGGAACTCTGGTATACTCCGTGGTTCTTAAGCCCGAGAAGCCTCGGGCAGAGATGACCTAACGAGATCTGGTAGGGTCCACGGGTATTCCCGAGGTCTGGGGACATTAAGTGGGTAGAACCTTGGAAGTCTCGGTACTGCAGTCGCTACGTTACACCTTCAAATATTGATCAAAGTACGATACAAAATCCTTTCTCACCAAATAAGTTTTTAATGTCAGCTCGGTACATCGACAGTCATATCTTGGAAATTCAGGACAATTACTTGGTTGCTGCTGATATCATCTGTTAGCTCTGTATACCGATAGCGATAATCCCGAAATCCAGGGTAGTCACTTACGTTTCTGCTCAGTAGGTCTGTTTTAACTCTGTAAATCGACAGCCATATCTCAAAATGCCACGGAGGCTCCAAGAATCGTGCACTGACCTCGTGCAATCATAGAGGATCGACAATGTACAGATGTCGGCACGTCAGCGTCGGACTAACCGCGAAGCTATCTATCATGTTAGATAGCCTCTTCCAGGAGAACCCATGAGTTCTCTAAGAATCAGTCTCTGTATTTCTCCAGTACTACTTGTTCCTTAGGCATCTTCACCTTACCTAGTTGACAGGCTCTGTCCTGCAAACACTAGACCCTTCTTACCTTACACAGAACCCCAGGAAATTTACTTAAGCCCATCGTGCGTCACATAAAGATTATAAGTTGACGTAATAGAAGCGTATAACGAAGTTAAAGGATAGTGGAGAGAGGGGTAATTTGTGTGTTGCGCTAAAAGCTTCTCCATTGGAGTATTTGTATTATGAAAAACACTTGGTGCGGCTCAATATCAGCTAGTCGCTCGTTGAAAAAGCAGCCTTTGCATGAAGATCACATAGTACATATGAAGCTTATAGTATCCGGAGATATTGACCTACTTCATCTTTCTGCTGCTATTTTTTACTTTGTTTAACTGTTCTCTTAAACGACACGCACCCCACCTTCTTGCAATCGGTAAACCTATAGTTGCGGATACAAAATGCCTTCGAATACTGCCGGAGCCGTAATTCGGATACGTCTCGTTATTCTCTTCCTTACTATTACCTCGCTAGCTCTTTCCTGTCTTAGATCGGCTACTGCACGTTTTGCGATCTTTCTACGAGACTACGTATAGTCCGATCTCGTTGCCTCTAGTGACATTATATTAGACACCACATTCTAAATTCTTATAGACAAAGACCTCGAGGGGATATGTGACTATGGCCCTTACCTTAACCCTATTCTCCTTCTTCAGGATTGTCCTTGTAATCTACCCGAGATAGCTATACGAGAACCATAAGCTTCGAACTTATCACGGCTACATTCCGTTCGCCCTAAGCTTGACTGTTTTTTTCTTAGGGGGTTATATTACTAACTATATCTAAGGTTTTTTTTTAAACGTCCTTCAAGTTTTTAATAGTGAGGGTCACGTTTTATGCTACATGATTATATATAAAAGGGCTGTTAGCTAGGCCGCTTTCGGAGTTCTAGTGGTTATTGCCTCTCTTGTACGTTTTGTCGTACGTGGCTTACGCGAAAGAAGCTAACGCAATAGCTAAAGTGGCGGTTCGAGGTGCTTGCTAAAGTAGGGTTATAAAGTAACGAGGTAGGGAGCATTTCGAATAAACATAATCGCAGGTTTTCGCCATAAGTTTTCGAAGGATAAGGGAAGCAGAGGTAGAACTCGGAGCAATTAGAGAAATACAGGTGATAAAATCATGCAAAGGAATGGACTTTACTACAGCATTGCTTAGATAGTTTGCTAACTAAATCGTTTAAGTTAATTGGAAGTAAAGCATGTTCAATTCTTAATCTAACTTGCCCACCGATCATGGCCGATCGTAGAGCAGTAACATTACGTTAATGCTCATCCTCAAGTGGCTTATTACAAAAGATGTTTCACTTGATGATCTTTTCTATGTAAAATTTCCATCAACCTTGGATTTTTATAAAGACTTGAACGCTGACCCGGAACATGTGGACGGCTAAGGAATCACATAGCCCTAGAAACCTGTAGCTTCTAGGTCTCTCCATCTTCACTTTGAGGAAATCAAGCCATATTCCTGACGGCTGTAACGGCCTCTTCTTGTTCCCAGAGGCTTTGGTGCGGCTTCTGCGGGCATATAAGCCCTAGGAACCCCGACGTAGCTTCTGGGACCTTTTACCTCCACCGCTGGGAATGAAATCCAGGATCATGAGGATACCTTTATCCGCAGGGATACATTCAATACAGGTAATTTCTTTGGCTTGACAACCATTTAGAAATTCGCTAGTTGAAAAGTGTGAAATACCCTTTCGCGGCTTTCCCTGGCCAAAAACTTAAACAGTCTCGTCCCAATTGAAGATATCATTCGGTAGAAATCGAGATTCTTGCTCTAAATGAGCTTTTTTTCTTTCGAGATTTTGGACAATATAGTGAAAATGGGGCGGAAGCCGTCGAAAAAACCGGTAAATGGCCGGCAACCCGGTTCTCGCCAGACCGCTGTAAAATACAACCCGCAGTGCGCTCAACAATGGCTGGGCAGGGGACTGCGTTTATATTATTGAGAGAAGTGATCCAGCCAATAAATGCTTTGTAGGTTTGCTGGTTGGCAGTTTGGCTCTTCCGACCCTGAATCGGACCGTGCAGAACTCGGCAGGAAACCTGGATTCTCACGCGACCGCGCGAATGTTGGGCTTATCGCTACCATAGTAAATATACAAGTCCTTTGATATTGTATCCTCGGAAGCTGGGGATTTTCTGAGGCATCTTTGGTCATAGAAAATAGGTGGGAACATGATGGAAGTGAAATTTTACGATGTGGGGTAACCCACCAACCCATACTCTGCTGGGCGGGGGTGGTTTAACCAAGCGACGATTAGTGGGAGCCGCCCAGCGGTAGGCCGGGGTAAATGAATTCTCACGAATATACACACAGATACACACAAAGTTGGTTCCGTAGTTTGGTTTTGTTACCGTTCTAATCTTTTATTCTTTTATTCGCCATTGCCATTTGCCAATGCCCCACCTTATCTGAAGTGTCCTATGGATCGAAGTATGCGTGTCTTTGCGCGTTTTATTTCACTCTGTGCCTATCCGGGCCATGCTCGCTGTTCAAAATCTGTATAAAATCCCCCTCGTTTACCTCCGGGTAGATTTTCCTTTTCATAAACACATTCACTTCGAAGTAAATTTCTACAAACGTTCTTTATCTTGTTCATTCTCTTCGATACCGAGGTCGACTCTCGTTGAATTCGTTACTCTGTTGACCGGACTCAATCACATACCAACTATAACTGCATCAGTCCGTACTATATATTCCTACATTCAGAATGATGCTTCTCAAGACCCTGGGCATTGCTGGCCTCTTCTCCATCAATGTTTCCGGTCTTCCCCAGGACATGATGGTCCGCCGCGAGGACATGTTCCGCCGTGACGGCGGCGGTGTCACGATCATCAACAACCTCCAGCAGGACATCTACGCCTGGTCCGTCGCTGACGTTGTCGGCCCTATGCAGACCATCAACAGTGGCGGTGGCATCTACTCTGAGAACTGGCGCATCAACCCCAACGGCGGTGGTATCTCAATCAAGATCTCCCTCGACCAGGAGCAACAGGACGTCCTCCAGTTCGAGTACACTGAGTCCGGTGACACTATCTTCTGGGATCTGTCTTGCATCAACATGGACTCTGGCAGCATGTTCATCAACTCCGGCTTTGCTGTCGTGCCCTCCGATGAGACTTCCACTTGCCCTTCGGCTATCTGCACTGCCGGAGATTCCGCTTGCTCTGCGGCTTACCTCCAGCCTACTGATGATTATGCCACCCACGGCTGCCCTATCAGTACTGCTCTTAACTTGGCCATTGGCTAGTCCTACACTGTCTATCAGTCTGCCTTGATTATTGCCGGTTGAACCGTGCAACCCTTATTTTTTTACCTTTCAGACTTATCGTATGTAGCCCTAGTTGCCATATGATTTTTTTTTTTTTTTTTCCTTATGTATCACGCCAGATAGTAATGCCTTTTCGAGATGAGATTGGTGATTTTTTGTTACTCAACATGTTCAATTGAATTGATATGCCTTCTCCCCAACTACAGCGTGTTATTCCCTTCGGGGCAGGATGTCTCGTCACTATGATTTCTTACGAGTTAACTTTGGGAACCCCCAGTCAACATCTGAACTGAACATGGAAACGGAAGTTTTGGGGGGGGGGGGGGGGTGGGGGTTGTATAGACATATGAATAGACGATCATCAGATCTAGAAAAGTTTACAGGAAATATGCGATCTTTACTTCCGAAAACTTGCCTATAATTTTGTCCAGTATTAAACTCCTCTACACTTTCTCGATACTGGTATGGGGTACTTGGAAATAACCCATATCTAGACCCTTCTGGTTCGATAAAGACGAGATTGAAATTCTAATAATCATTGGGAGAAAAAAGCCACAAAACAGCTACAAAACAGCCACAAGACCAGGAACAAATAACCCCGCACAAAGTCGGTATGAGGCGAAGAGGCCGGAACAGCGAAGAATATGCGCCAATGCCGAAGTCTACCATCTAGAACAAGCGATAGACAGGGACCATTGATAGACTTCGACACTCAACGTTCCTGTCTGCAGACCTGCCTACACTCCTCAGTCCGTTCCACAGAATGGCGATCCTCCGCCAGTTGGATGGGTGGATAACTTTGGCGTCCTTGTTGCTTCCAAGGTTTGGCTCCATCGGATATGTAAGCGGTGTCCACTGAGGGGATGTGTGGCTTGAAGGTTCGATCCGATTTATGGCCTTTTTTTAAGTTTGTTCTGGAAAAGAGCGGGTCGGATCGATAAGACCTGTCTGATCTGCGATTTTACTGCGTTGGGGTCATTATTCACACCTGGGGAGATTTTGACGCCAGCGTTAGTACATCACTTTTGTCATAGCGTTGGCTATACGTAGACCGTTAGCAGTGCCGGAGTCTTGCGCGTAGGATGAACTCATAGCAAACCACCGAACTTCAACTGCAGAATTATCCATTCACATTTAGCAGAAAACGCCTGTCCAGCCTGTTCCTATTGAGAGCCGAACCGATTAGCTGGTTGAACCACGTCTCTTCTCACCGGCAACCATGGAACAACCAGGTAAATATGAGAGGGGAACTGCCGGGAGCTAATAGATGAAAGAGACAGATTATTAAGGTTCTGTCATCTGATGGCTAGGGTTATGTTTAAATTCCCCCAAACTCAAGCACCGCGCCAACTTTCAGTTGGCACTGCCTAATTCTTGGTTGAACAGTGTAGAGCCGATGTCAAAGGTTAAGAATTAATTGGAGGAATCAGTATCTGCCGACTCCTCGGATTGCTGTCTGGTCAACATCTGCTGCGTGGGCAGTATCATCGAGCCCCGCCCGAGGAAGGAGATAGGAAAGAGAAGGCAACCGACGGACCACTTTCGTAAATCTCATACGTTATGCCACAACCTACTCTCCCGACAGTTAAGACGAAACTCTAGCTCACTGGACTACGGGGGCCATACTTCTTCCCACGGGGCAATACTGCCCCACGCTGCAACTCGGCGTCCAGAATTTCGATGTTCAGCAGATGTTTGGTAATCTTTTGCTGGCAGACCCAACAGACCGGATTCGGCTTTGCCACAGAAAAGACTACTGTAACCCATTCACATCACCCGGTAGAGGAAAGAACAAGACCAGGGCCAGCTCATCATGAACTATAACGCCATCAAACCTCCCCCTACCGCCAAACTCTTGGGGTTGACTTTCGACCACTACTGAGGTGGAAGGAACACGTGCAACAAGCTGTTAGACGAGCCTCTAGGGTAAACACCACATTTGGGGGTTTGCGATAGCTGCGTCCAGAGCAAATACGAGGCGTTTGTCGCACTGGTCGTTAACCACACTTCGACTGTCTGGCATGACCGACTCCAAGGCAACGCCCATTTACGGCACTTATTCGTGTCCTGTCTGCCTTTCGGACCGCGGCCACAGTAACGCTGGGCATGGAGGTACATGTACAGCTAACACATCAATCAATCAATCAACCGAAGTTCTATTAACCTATTGGAGCCTAACTAATATCGTAATGTGGCTATGCAGGTGCTTCTTCACAAATAAAGCAAGAACTCATAATCCGTGCTCCTGATCATGCTCCAATACAAACAGGGAGGCTGGCCCTGAAAAATGTGGAAGAACCAGCCCAATACATGAAGTCTAAATGTCAAAAACCCGTCAAACCCGTCAAACCCTTCAAACCCTGAGTACAAATGCCCAATACAAATTAAATGCAATGCAATGAATGCGTGGAATACACCTTCCATCTCCCTTTGTAAGATCCCTCTCCTTCAAAGCCTCCTTATCCGTCTTAAAAGCGAGATCGGGCCTCTTTTCTAAGGAATGCTTTATCCTCAATTGATGCTTTACGGTGCTGATCAACTGACTAATCGGGGTCAGACGTTGACGTATTCGGCATGCGAGCTGGCCGGGTAAGCGAGCTGGCCACCCACCGATTATTACTAGCATTAAATTGTACATTTCAGCACCACAACATCTTATAGTTGAAAATGAAGCTATTGAGACCTCTCCAGACACCTATTTCTCTTATGTCCTACATTTTTACAAAGGCTACATCGCTGCCTTGCTCTCTAAGGAGGCTGAGTAGGTGCTGGCGAAGACCCTCCTTCTCTAGCAGCTGATCCTGCTTCATCAGCTATTTCTTGTCCTAAAACCATCGATAAAGCCTCCAAAACAGTCATGCCACCTTCGTGAGCTATTCGCTTTCTTATACCCTGCTTCTTTCGGGTAGTCTTCGTATTGGCAGCCCGAAATTCGCTATCTTCCCGACGTATAATACTAGCGCTATAGATAGCTAAATGGCAGCCTTTTATGATCTACTTAAAGGCTGCCTCTATCTGCGATAGGTTGTCTTGTAGCATTCTCTTAATACATAATGCTTACCGTCGTACATCTTTCGCTATATACGGAGTTTTTGGGGTAAAATTGAGGCTCGAATCGCTTCTATGGCTCGGAGGAGGTGGAATATATAGGCGTATAGAAAGTTTCGAAACAACGCGATCCAGATTTAAAGGGGCGATACTAGTAGCTACGAAGCTATTCCGAATAGTATCTTGCTTAAATGCTTTATTTCGAGCAGTAGGATAAGTAGTAAGAAAGTTTTTCTTATCGATTCCATAGACACTAAGCTTTACCTACAACTTAACTAGCTTCCCGTATGCCCGCTTTAACACCTAAAACAGCCGGTATCGAGCGGCTATAAGATATAAGATGGATGCGTCGGCATACAGATCGGTATAATGCTATTTTTCGAGTAGATATCGAGAATGGAATGCGAGGTCGATAGCAGTTCGTGGATTTTCGAACATGGCTTTAATCTGAACACTTGGTGTCATACTGCATAGAGTCAATCCGGGAGTGTAGAACCAACACTCTTGGCTGCTTCTGCTACTGTCTGTGTGTGTGTGTGATTCATTTACCCTGACCCCTCGTCGAAGTCGATTTATCAACCATTACCCGCTAGAGTTCGTTTTGGTCTACCTGGTAAATCAACTGGTTATGAGCCCCAATTGCGCGACCTCAGAGCATCAGGTTCGATTCCCGCAGTTTGCGTCGCTTGAGCACCCAGAGCCTACATCAGACGGCCTACGATTGGCCACACAGCCAGGCAGCTTTGCCCCCAGTCAAGTGTCTATGGTTTACCGGGAGAGACGGGTTTTTGATTTATAAACCATTTCCCATTAGACTAGGTGCGAATTCGTATTTTGGTCTAGTTGGTAAATCAACAGTCGAAACGATATACCTAAAACCCACAATTATGTATATCTCTCAATGTACATATATCGTGTACCACTTCCTAAGCGAACTTGGAGCCTCGCTGGGACCTTTCGTGACCAGCAGCCGTCATTGTTTCATACTGCCCTCATGGCGCGCGGCTTTGAAATCGTTTTTACCGCGACTATTTGCAGCGACATTGTCGATGCTGTTTTAGATTTAGGATCATATTTAGAAAAAAGTGATGCTGGGTCGGTTAAGGAACGTTGGCTAACGATCAAATCCTCCACGAGGTATTCAATCTTCAATGCTCATCTATCTCATTTGTTAATAACCCAACGTTGAATCACCAAAAAGAACCTGCAATTTCATCACTAGGAATCATGGAAATTATTTTCCCAGTCTCGCTTTACTGTTGGTTGTGTTGAGCTATGGGTCTGTTCGTCTAGACTGCGGAAAACGTCAGGTCACGGTCGCGTGTGCGGGTACTCGACTCAACCCATTGAAGCTTAGCCATACGTTGACTCAATTTTTGGACTTGTGACCATCGTTAAAATACCTTTGAATACCATACGTACTAATGAGACGGCGACCACGTGATTATGCAGGTAGTAGAAGGGTCGACAGTAGACAAGTAGGACAGTTCTACTATTCTACTTTCTAGTGTTCTACCATGGGAGAACTAAGGATATATATGGTCACTCATTCATGTATCCATTTAGTTCTTCGTGTTCAATTATACATTGTTACTTGCGTTAAATACTCAAAGCTTCGGTGACTCTTTACTTGGTTATAACTTGACAACACTCACGAATAGATCTAGTTATACCGAGGTATAGTTCTATTCGGCGCTCTACCTGGCATCGGTTCCTCGATACACTCAAAAGAACGTAGCCCATATAAGGCCTGCTCGGCGACGGTACAGTTGAGAGACCGATCATTAACGTTGGAAGACAGAGAAGCACAGCCAAGTATAACCACGAACCCGCGTTAGGGTTCCTTGGGTTTCGATATCATAACCTATTTCCGGGGTTTGGCACAGTCTACGAACTTGCAAAGTTCTTATTCTTGTGAATCCCCGATTACC